GGGGGGGGGGTCCCGCGTTAAGTGGGAGCCGGTCGATGATTTGCAAGGAAAAGCCTGTAGACGCGGATCATCCCCTCTGCGGGGACCCGGCCTCCTGCCCAGGTGGGAGGAGGTTCGTAACGCTCACGCGAAGCCAAAGGGGGACAGGGATTTTAGGCGAAAACGGGAAAACTTGGATTTCTTACCTAGAGAGCTGCCCGTCTCCCCTCCCCCTGCTCGCTTTCACGTAGCCCATAGCCGACATGGGGATCCGGGAATACCCCCCCCCCCGGCTGCCGAGCAAACATCTGGAAGGAAAATATTTTAATATCACTCTCCCCCCTCCACCCCCCGCCTTGTTTTTAATTTTCCCCTCCTAGATTCCTCTCCTCAAAATAAAAGAGCCAACACAACAGAAGAAGAGGTCTCAGAAGACTCCCCCAGTGCCAGTTCAGTGGAGCAAACACCCAAGAAATCAAGCCCAAGAAGACATCAAACGTAAACCGTTTAGGTAGGTTCCCTTTAGGATCTGGCATTGGGATGCAAAGAAGGGAAGGAAAAGGTGACCGAGGGGGTCTCGCCCTTCTATAAGAGGGGGACTAGGGGGTGTCGAGCCCCTCTGGGCTGGCTGCGGGGTCTTTTCTCCCAGGAAGGGTGGCTTTCCCCAAGCGCTTGGGGCTGGGTGTGCGTTGGAGGGTGGGGGTGGGACGCGTTGGGCTTGGAAAAAAGAACAAAACAAGGGGCTAAAACCCACAGCCGGGCACCGCAGCCTCGTCCGGGCTGGGGCAGGGGCTGGGGTGGGAGCCCCGGCCGCGGTGGGACCGACCCTGCCTTCCCTCCTCCGGGAGCGGGAGCGGGAGCGGAGGAAGGGGGAAAGCCCTTTTCCCGAGGACCGTGCGGGTGGAGGGACCGAGTTTCAAACGCGGCTGGTGCGTGATGTTAGATGACAAGGGATTTCGGGGGGCTTTCCGGGTGCCGTCCCCGTCCCCCCTGGTGCTTTTCCACCTACAGTGTCAGCGTTGCCGTCGCATGTCGCGGCGACCTCCCACCCCTGGGAGAAATAAGTCAAAAAGTTGGGTCTGAGGGCAAACCGGGCAGTTTTTGTAAAATCCAAGCTAGGCAAGGTTGTTTTTTTCTTTTTTTTTTTTCTTTTTTTTCCTTCCCCTGGTTGTTTTGGTTTGGTTTTAGACTCTGGCAAAGGGGAGAGAGCGGGTTAATGCGAGCTGGGTTGTCCTGCCTTTTTTTTTTTTTTTTTTTCCTTTTTCTTTTCTCCCCCCCCCCCTCCCCCTTCTTGTTGTTGTTTTGTTTTAAGGCGAGGGCTGGGGCGGAGGGAGTTGGTAAATTGCGCCGGCGGTTTTCGCAGCCGAGGTTAGGAGCGAGGTTTACAAACACGATTTGCGATTGTGCAGAAAAGAGATTAAGCTGTAAAGCAGAAGTTGCAACAAATTAGTCCCGCTGGGGTGAGCGGTGGAGGAGCCCGTCAGCATGCGTGGCTATGCAAATACCGCTACTACCGCCCGCTTGTTTGGGACACACACGGACACATACCGGGCCGAAAAGGAGGGATCCCGCCGCTTTTCTCCCCCCCCCCCCCCGGAAAAACGGGCGGAGGACGGGCGGGCGGGGGTGCCAGCAGCGCGGCCCCGGGCAGGGCCTGCCCGCCCCGGGGATGCGGTGTCGGTTTGAACCGGTTGCGCCGTGGATGGCGTTTCTTTTTTTTCGACGTTTTCTAATCGTTTTCTCACTCTTCTTCTTCTTCTCCCCCCCCCTTCGGCTGCAGAGCGGAGGATGTGCGTGTGTCCTCGTTCATCGGGTGCGGCGGGGGGCGATGAAGCGAGGAAGATGTAAAAGTTGTAGTGGAAACGAAAATACATATCGCCGATCTCCGTGGGATGGAGGTCCTGTACAAGCACTGAAAAAAAAAAAAAAAACCAACAGCAACAAAACAAAAACCAACACCAACAACAAAAAGCAAACAATAACACTAAAATTTTAGGCACTCTTAAAAGACCTGCCTCTAAAAGCATTGGATGTAGCATTGTGCAATTAGGTGTTTCCTTATTTGCTTCATTGTACTACCTGTGTATATAGTTTTTACCTTATGTAGCACATAAACCTTGTTGGGAGGGGGGAGGGCGTGGAAGAGGGTGACCGATTGGAACTTGCTTTCACAATCTAGCAAGCAAAGAAATGTATGAAGAGAAGCAGTGTAGGTTTTTTTATTACTTAAAGATGTATTGTCCCTTTACGTGGGTCTGCCGTGTTTTTTCTTTTTTTTTTTTTGTTTTGTTTTTAATGGACCATGGTGGTAACCCTGCTCAGAGCAGATTATGACAGGCCGCTTGTGAAATTTCGTCCTACTGCATTAAACAAGAGGTGGGAGCTGTGATGATTCCGTTATGTAGTAGCAAAAGTTTCCCCCCCCCCCGACTTCAGATCTATATAGCAAATATGAATGCGTGTAAGAGTTGTGTAAAATCATCCTGTTGTTACGTTGCCTGATTTCCTGGTGTTTTTGGGGTTTTTTTGTTGTTGTTTTTTTTTTTTTAACTAATCTGGAGGGCCTTTGCTCTGAATCTCAAATATTGTTTTCTGATCTGACCCACTTCCTGAAGTGTTTGTGTGTGAGGGAAAAGGGATACTACATCTTTAAACAGTATTTCTACATTGCCTGTGTACCTGTATGTAAAAATAAAAAAAAGTTTGAAGTGTACCTGTGTACATAACTCTGTAAAGACACTGAGAAATTATACTAACTTATTTATGTTAAAAGATTTTTTTTAATCTAGAAGACAATATTTTTCCCCATAAAGCCAAAGTGGCATGTTTTTGTGCATTTGTAAATGCTCTATTTGGTAGACTTTTTAGGGTTTTTTTTTGTTTGGGTTTTTTTTTTGTTGGGTTTTTTTTCCTTTTTCTGATAATTAATATGGCTGTGCTTAAAGGATTGCAGACTGAGCCAATTTAATATTTTTTTTTGTAATGTGTGGGAAAAAAAAATCCAGATTGATATTGTTTCACATCAAGCAATCAATAAAGAAAACTGCCATATATAAGAAATATGTTCTTCATTAGTGTGTGTTTCAACCTCCCTCAGCCTGGCACAGGAGGAAATAAGGCTCCTTCGAGAAATAACAGCAAGTTTCCTTTGGGTATCTCTTCCCCTGGCTCCAGCACAGGTGAAAAATAAGGAATGCAGCTCGCTCTCTTCACCCTTAGTGCCACGCTATCGTGTCTCCTCTGTGATAACTGGGAATAACGTGCCCTCTTAATGCGAAAGAGTGGAATTTCCTCCTGTCGCAATATATTTTTTTTTATTTTTTTTTTTTAATTTTTTTTTGAGGAAGAAAAACACCTCGCTCGAGGTTATTTCTCACACTTGCTCGTTCGACTCGCGAGGCTTAAAACTCGAGCCTAAAATGAGCCCCTTCCTGGCACGGACCCGCTGCCCATTGTGGACCAGAGAGCCACCACATCTCCGGCTTTGCCCCCCCCCAGCCCTCCCCCTCCCTCCCGGTGTGCCGTGCCGGTGACCCCCC